GGAAGGAAGGGAAGGAAGGGAAGGAAGGGAAGGAAGGGAAGGAAGGGAAGGAAGGGAAGGAAGGGAAGGAAGGGAAGGAAGGGAAGGAAGGGAAGGAAGGGAAGGAAGGGAAGGAAGGAAGGAAGGAGGGAGGAAGGAGGGGAAGGAAGGAAGGAAGGAAGGAAGGAAGGAAGGAAGGAAGGAAGGAAGGGCTTAGAACAATGCCTGGCACTGTAACCCAGTACATTGTGTATGTGTGAACTTGAGGAAAAAGACTAAAAAGTACTCTGTTCTCCCCATTTCATGGGTGGGGAGTTTGGGGTTTGGAGAGGGGCTTGCCCAAAGCCACAGAGCCCATAGGCTGCAGAGGTAGGATGTGAACCCTGGCAGTCTGAGTCCCCAGCCCACGCTCCAATCTGCAACGCTGGGAAACTTGACTGCTCCCCACCTCGCCTGCTCAGGTCGGCCTGGGCTCTCCCCTCGGAGCCGGTCTCACCTGATATTCCCGAGCGTGGCGATGATGAGGCCCAGGGCCAGCCCGTGGGCCAAGGCCGGCTGCAGCAGCCCAGTGTCCGGCCCGTTCTCAATGACCGACAGGCACCCGATGAAGATGAAGAGGGCCGAGCCCAGCAGTTCAACCAGACAGGGCTGCAGGAACCGCTCGAACCAGGACCCCCGGCACCTGCCACCCATGCTGGGCTCCTTCCTCTTACCCCTGCCAAGTTCAGGGTCACACGCAGACGCGGCCGCCTGCAGCAGGGAAAAGGGAGAGTGGGCACGGGTGGGCAGAAAGCCCCGAGAGCAGCCCCCGGCGCCCCTGCCTTGTGCAGGGTGCAGAGGCGGAGCAGCTGTGGGCTCACCTCCGCAGAGAGCAGGGCCAACGCGGCCGCGCACCTGCTCTCGCCCCAGCTGGCTGGGAAGCCGCACCTGCAGTCCTGGCTCTTATCTCGGGACCGGCTGCTGATCCTGCTTGGGGCTCTGCCCCTTTTAAAGGGCCGCGGAGGCTCCCTGAGGGTGCCAAGAAAGCAATAAAGCGCGCGTGGGAGGTGGCCCTGGGGCCCAAAAGAGGAAACTTTTTTTTTTTTTAAATTTCAACTGGGCAGGGCAGGGGATGGTCAAGGATTGCTGAGCTTTCTGCCAACAAGGGGAGAAGGCGCTGGCCGAGCGCACGCCTGGGGAGCACCCCAGGCCTTCCCCGGCACGAGATGGAGGGCCCAGGGCCCCAGCTCCCTGCGGCTGCCATCAGGGCCCAAAGGACAGCAGCATGTGAGCACAAGGAGGGCCCCATAGGGCTGGGACCCCACGCGGGACCCCACGCGGGAGAGCAATTACTACATGCCTTCTACATGCCAGACCCTGTATATGTATTATCTCATTTAAACCTCACAGCAAGCCTGTGAGGCAGGTACTACTATTATAGAATTTTACACATGGGAAATTGGAGATTCAGGAAAGGTATGTTTCCCAGGGTCACATAGGTTTTTTGTTTTTTGTTTTTTGTTTTTTAATATTTTTATTTATTTCTAGGAGAGAGAAAGCGTGAGCAGGGGAGGGTCAGAGAGAGAGGGAGACACAGACTCTGAAACAGGCTCCAGGCTCTGAGCTGGCAGTCAGCACAGAGCCCAACGTGGGGCTCGAACCCACGAACCGCGAGATCATGACCTAAGCGAAAGTCGGACGCTTAACCGACTAAGCCACCCAGGCGCCCCCCAGGGTCACATAGGTTTTGTGATTGAAAAACTTGTGGGCTGAGTCACAGTGGACAAATACTGCCTGATTCCGCTTATATGAGGTCCCTGAGGTGGTCAGAGTCATAGACAGAGAAAGTAGATAGTGGTTGCCAAGGGCTGGGGGTTAGGCAGAGGGGAATGGAGAGGAGTTGTTTAACAGTTTCAGTTTGGAAGGCTGAAAAAGTTGTAGAGATGGATGGTTACACAGCCATGTTAGTGTACTTAATGCCACTGGACTATACTCTTAAAAGTGGTTAAAATGGTAAATTTTACGATAAGTGTATTTTATCACAATTGGGGAAAAAAACTTGTGGGTTAAGCCACTACAGTCTACTAACTTTTTTAGATGAATGGATGTATAGATGGATGGATGGATGGATGGATGGATGGATGGATGGATGGATGGATAGATGGATGGATGGATGATGGATGGATGGATGGATGGATGGATGGATAGAAAGAGGGAAGGACGAAAGGAGGGAGGGAAGGAAGGAAGGGAGGGATGAAGAAAGAGATAAAGAGGAGAGAGATGGGTTTCTTTATTCATCCATTCAACAAATATTTAAGTACCTACCGTGAACTAGTTCTAAGAGCTAACTGAAAGTGTAGCAGTGAATAAGACGAGCAAAGAATCTTTCAGTGCTTGTAACTATTACCTGAGTATTTTTCTGTACAGAGAGAGATTCATAAAGAAATAACAGATAAAAGGGATACAAGAATGCAGAGAAATGTCTACCCCTTGTTGACCAAACACCACCGCTGCATATCTAACACCGTGCTGAGCATACTGCATCTCTTCACAGCAACCCCATGACTTCTTATCCCTATCTTCAGGGCACAAAGATAAACCAAGGCACAAAGACATTGCAGAACTCGCCCAAGGTTGTGGAGATAAAAAGTATCTGCTCCAGGACAGAGCCAATCCATCAAGGGCTTGCTTGACAGTTTGCTAAAAGCTCTTTTCAGCTAGAGGCTTGGGAATACAGCCCCTCTTCTGAAGATTTGCACATCTCGGAAGGTTTAGGGTGGATTATCTTGAGCCCTGTGCTCTCCCTCCTCTGCTCCCACAGCACACTGTACAAGGTGTCTCATACCCTTCTCCCGTGTCCCTGCAAATGGCAACACAAGACAGTTGTCCAGCCTTGTGCTTCCCCATCTCCTTCACACTTTGCCCAAGTCCTGCCAACAGCTGCTTCCAGAATATGTCTCCCCTGGTTTCACTCAGGCCTTCATGAGTTCTCGCTTAGGGTCTTGGAAAAAAAAAAATCAAATGTTCACAATACACCTGCCAGGTTCTAGGCCCCGCACCGGACACCTCACATGCCTTCCCTCAGTTAACATTTACAGTCATCTGCTACCTTCCCCATGTCACAGGCGGGAACTCCCAGCTAGGGTGACCAGAGCTCCTCATGTGGTGCCCTTGCCTCACCCAGTTTTAATCTGTTCCTCTCGTACTGGGAACCAGCAAGGCACAGGTCAGCACCTGGGTGCAGGTGAGGCTCAGGCTTTTCCCGTGGCCTCAGTGTTCTCTTCTGGAAAAGTGGGCAGATGGCTGTTGTGCACATTACCTGAGACCATGCACTTAGCACAGTGCCCGACTCCGAGCAGGAGCACCTATTACTGTGGTTTGTCGGAGTGCCTGTTCGTCAGAGTAGGCTGCCCATGTAACAAAGGACCTGACATGTTGATGGCTTAACATAATAAAAATCCATTCACTGTTGACATAATAGCAGTCCCTTTATGATATGGTGACTCAGGGACCCAAGCCATTTCCACCTTGGAGACCAACCATGTAGGTCCTCAGATCTTCTGCCAGCGGATGGGAAGAGAGAGGACGTGGGGGACATTCTTATAGGCCAGGCCTAAAATGGCAGATACCACTTTGCTCCATATCTGGTTGACCAGACGTCCATCCTATGGCTTTGCCTGACCACAAAGGAGTCTGGGAAATGTAGTCTGTGTCAGGGAGGAAAAAGGAAGGCGTTCTGTGAGCGCCAGAAATTTCTGCCACATGACTATCACTGCTGTTCCCCAGACCCTCCTCAAAGCCTTCCCTGCATCAAAACCTTTCAGCCCTTCCTGTGGCTTTCAGGGCGAAACCAAACTCCCGGAGCCAGCCACACCCACACAGGCTGTGAGTCCCACCCTGACTCACCTCCGGCCACATGAACTCTTAACGACTCATGGGATGAGCCACGTGCCTGCACCCCTCCCTGCCGGCGCTGTTCCCTTGTTTGGAGTCCTGTTTTGAGCCCCCTGGCCAACCTCCCCTGCACATTTAAATCTCAGATCGGGCGTCCCCTCCCTCACCCCCCAGCCAACTAGATGTCAGCCCTCCAGACACAGAATGCCTCCTCAGCCAGAGCCACGGCCTGTCTCAGCAGCTCTGAAGGCAACGGCTCTCCAGAGAAGACCGTATTGTCACTCACGCACAACAACCCACTTCCACAACCCACCATCTATTGCGTGGACTGCTGTCTCCGTAAGCAACGTGCTGGTCCCCCAACTGCTAGAATAACCCGCGGGCTAGTGAGACAGCGCCTTCCTGAGAACGTGTTGTGCTTGGCAAACTTCTCACCCTTCCAATCCCAGGTCTAGTTGACATGACAGAGGCCTCTGATTTTTCATCCCTGTTTAGAGCCTTGTTTGGTTCAAGATGTCTCTGCCGCTGTGGGCACCATCCACCAGCAGGCCCAGTCACACCTCTCTTCCTTCCGTTCTCACTTTGGTAGCTGCACCGTGGGGCAAGAATGTGATGCCGGCGCCATGCAGCTATCTTGACACCAAGAAGTCCAACTTGCCAGAAGGGTGGATCTTTGATGATATCACCAAGCTGCCAGACTAACCCCAAGATCAACTGCTACAAGCTTTCTTGTAAAAGTAACCTGATCTTCTCAGATTGTGTACCAGGGCACCCCAGAGAGCCATGTTGAACTCACAGAGGGGCTATGGGGGATTAGAAAACATCAAGTGAAATACAGTGATGCTCCATAACTGTCAAACACCATGTGAATTACGAGCTCAAGGTTGTTCAAAGTTGTAATATTAAATGGCCCTACATTCCTCCAATAACCTCATATCTTTGCAAAGCTGGCTTTATGGGAGCTGTGATAATAAAAAAAAAGCAAGTGCTGCATAAAAACCAGTGTGGGAGAGGAAACGTAGGTGGTAGGGTCCAATCTAATTCCAAAGTCTGGGAAGTTGTGCCGTGCCCAAAGGTGCACACATCCCGTGGTAATTAACTGCAGAAGTTAAGAATGGAAGTTATTTAAGGACTCAATTCAACTGAGTTATTTATAGTCATCTGAGAATGAAATAAAAATATAAATAAAACACTTTTCAATATACGTGCATTTTTTTTTTTTCAAATGGCCAAGTTGAGGGGCGCCTAGGTGGCTCAGTCAGTTCACATCTGACTTTGGCTCAGGTCATGATCTCACAGTTTGTGGGTTGGAGCCCTGCATCAGGCTGGTGCTGACAGCTCGGAGCCTGAAGCCTGCTTCAGATTCTGTGTCTCCCTCTCTTTCCCTCCCTCTCCCCCACACCTGCTCTGTCTCTCTTTCAGAAATCAATAAATGTTGAAAAAATGTTAAGAATGGCTAAGTTGTTAGGACATAAATACTACATCCCCCCCCCCCCCTTTGGATCTGTTTAATCAATAGAACTAGTAGATATTCCTTTTGGGCCAGGAACGTGGGGAACCAGGACAGTTTGGGAGCCTGTGAACTGAACAATGTATGTCCCATGTCAGGAGCAGGGAGCTGAGTTTTCTATCACTGGAAGCAGAGAACATTTCCGGCTGGTACACCCTCTCCCGGTTCCCTGGCCACACCAGGCTTTCGATTTACTCATTTCTTCTGCAAACCAGCCAACAGTTGTAATGCAGAGGCTTGACAATCCAGGCTGATCCTGAGCCGGGCCATGGCAGAAACTAAAAGCAGAGCTCTCTGACTCTCCTGACACTGTGGCTTCATTTCCATCTAAATAGTCCTGATGTTGTTTTCAGCCCATGGTGACCAG